TCATAGGAAATATCATTCCTTTGAAAAGAAAGCAAATGCCATGAAGCTTGAAGAAAAAGTGAATGGTGTGATACTTGGAGAAAATGGATGATGTGATGCTCCAAAATCATGTGCTCAAATTATTTTGATGTCTAAAAGATGGACTTTTCATAATTTATCTTGGAAGAACCTCTTTTTTTCTTTTTTTTCTTCTTTTTTTTTCAAAAATGTGAAATGCAGTGCAAAATGCATGTGAATGAAATTTCCATTTTCATTTTTATGCACTTGTTTTTGAACTATGAAATGGAAATAGTGATAGTTGAAATGAAATATGTGATGAAAAAGGGAATGCGAAATGAACATGGAAGAAATTTTCATTTTCATGCCCCCCCCCCTTTTTTTTGTTTGCAAAATGTGAAAAGGATGAGATAAAGAAATATGAGAGGAAAACTAGCTCTATGAATAAAATTTTCATTTTTTTCATTTTTCACCATTTTTAATTTTTAATTTTTTTTTATGCAACTTTTATGAAATATGAGAATCATGAGATGGAGATAATAATGCTTGGAAGGAAAATTTGAGATAGAAAATGCAACGTAAAATGCATGTGAATGAGATTTTTTTGTGCAATTTTTATATAAGATGAAACATGTAATGTACTAAACATGGGTGGAATTTTACTTTTTTTTTTGCAATTTTTTTTTTGTGAAACATGAGATGAAAAATGAAATTTAAAATGAACAAAGTGGAGAATGTCACATGAGATGAACATGAAAATATATTTTGCAATGCATGAGATGGAAAATGCGATACAATGGACATATGACATGTGAAATTTTCAAGACATATGGAAGATTTAATGTGAAATGAGTAGGATGGACATATGACATGTGAAACAATCATGAACTCTCTTTTTTTTATGCATGGGGTTGAAAGTGAAGATACAAAGTGCATGGAATGTTCCTTACCTCAAGAATGATGTCTAAATGCAGAAGATGAATAACTAATCATACCTCAGATGCATATAAGAACAAAAACCTGTCATGTGCAGAGACAAAGTTAGTGAAGTAAAATGCCCCCTTTTGTGTCTTAGACACGGGATTCCTAACCTCACGGGTGGGATGCTAAGGGAAACATGTCTTAGGGTTGGTATCTCTCTAAGGCTACTACATGTTTTCCTAAAGGGCATTAGGCCTTCTCAACCATTTATCCTTTCGGAATCAACGGGAGATATTTCCAAAAGCTAATACACAGAATGATATTACATCATCAAGTGTTATATTAACCAATGGAAACAACCTAACGGGAACCAATCTTACTCCTCAAAGCGGGAAGAATTGCTCTTCCAAGCCAGATTCATAAGGATTCCAGACTAGAGGTCGGGTTCACCTCCGACACGAACCTAATGCAAAATGAAGGTGAGTGTGTGCAAAGGGGCATGACACTCCAATAACCTGCACAATGGAAACCACAAAAATAGCAACATATATCCCACAGCAATCAAATAAGGCATATAAAACACTCAATAGATATAGCATCCACAAACACACCTACTTACACAGCAGGAAGGGACTCACCTAGTACTCTCATGCCAAATGCAAAAAGTTAGTAACACAAAGCAACCAACACTTAGCATGCAATAAGATACAAATAATCGCACAAGAGGGAAGAGGCTCACTAAGTACTCCATAGCCAAGTGCAAAAGGTGAGTATATCCACACACAAGCAAATAAGCATGTAAGCATGATGCATGATGAATAAGCATATAATATCAACGATGAATGAGCATGTGAGATGAAATGATGCATGAACATGTGAGCAAGGTATGATGCGTGTTATGATATAGTATGATAATCACTAAAAGGCAAAAAAACAGTAAAAGCAACAACCAAAACAAGCAACAAGCAACAAACAACACACAACAAGCACATGCAATAAATGACAAAAACCCACAAAGACTCAACAAACAAAGAAAATCAAAAGTTGAAAAATTCCCCAAAGTTAAAGTATTAGCTCGACCCTCGTGAACCCAAAATATGAAGATCAGAGATTTTGGGTTCTGTCCCCAGTGGAGTCGCCAATCTGTTGACGACCACTTAAAAATTTATTAAGTGTGAATATAAAAGAAAAGGGAGTCGCCACTCGTCCAAATTATAAGGTGGGACAAGTCACCTAAAACGGGTCTGCGCAGATATCGAGGTTCGGGGGTTCGGTTAGGAGTGAGGAAGGGCATACGCACACCTCACAATCCTCCGTTTAAACACAGTTGCATACTTTAACATTGGGGCTTTTGATTCAACTTATTCATTATGTTTGTATTTAAGTCTTAATAAGCAAGCTTGAAAGAGGGTAAACCAAATTGAAACATTTTTTTAATTTTGGGGCCAAAATGGACAAAATCAAAGACAAGCATGCATCATAAACACAAATAACATTAAAGGGACTAATTTGATTAAATTCGAAACATGAAGGACTGATTTGATTAAGATTCAAAACATGAAGAATTGATTTGAAAAGAGTTGAAACCCATGGACTGAATTGCTTAATTACAAAAGCTTTCGGTAAAATTTGGAATAAACACAGATAATTTTAACCATGACCAACATTAAAGTTAATTAAAAGTTGAAATTAATTAATTGAGATAATTAGTCTAATTAAATAATTAACTTAACATTAATTAAAATTAATTAAAATTAATTAATCACATTTACTCATTTTTAATTAAGATAATCAAATAAATTTAATTATCTCAAATTAAATTTTAATAAATATGATTAATTTATTTTGATTAAAATTAATTAACTTCATTAATCATAAATTAAACTAACTCACCTAATTAATTAATAAAAACTTATA